TTATTATTATTATTATTATTATTATTATTATTATTATTATTATTATTATTATTATATTACATTTTGTATTGTGTTTGATGTTGTATACTAAAGAATATGAGGCAGTTTATAAATCTTAAACAAACTATAAGCCAAAATATAATTTTGTGGCTGGGATTGTACTCCAGCAAAATTCCACAAGCATCACTTTTATGAGCTAGTGAGTCAAATATGACTCCTGGAGTCTAAATGCAAATATCCACGTCGGTCTTTTGGTTTTATGCAAGCAGTTTGCCATTGCCTTTAAAAACAAGAAACTTCTTGCAGCTGTAGATTTCCCATCTCGTCTGACTGTACAGATACTCTTTGATTTACAACAGTTCATTCAGTGACCTGTTGCAGCGGCATTTTAGAAAGTTTCAGTGGCACTTTAAAAAGTAACTTATGACTATTTTTCACACTTATGACCATTCCAGCATTCCCATGGTCATGGCAACAGACTCTTATTTATGACAGTTGCAATGTCCAAGGGTCACGTGATCACCTTTTGCAACCTTCTGACAAGCAAAGTCAATGGGAAAGCCAGATTCACTTAACTACCATATTGCTAACTGAACAACTGCAGCGATTCACTTAACAACTGCAGCAAGAAAAGTTGTAAAATGGGGCAAATTTCATTTAACAAATATTTTGCTTAGCAACAGACATTTTGAGTTCAGTTCTGATCATAAGTTGAGGTTTACCTGTACTTAGATTTTTCAATACCAGCTAGATGCTGCCACCTTCCAGAACATACTATTATGTTTCCCCCCAAAATAACACCCAACCAGAAAATAAGCCCTAGCATGATTTTTTTCCCAGATGCTCATCATATAAGCCCTACTCAAAAAATAAGCTCCGGTTAAGATCGTCAGCCAGACGGACGTGTTTAGTACCGTATTTTCCCTGAAAATAAGGCCTAACTGGAAAATAAGCCCTAATGCTTCTTTTGGAGCAAAAATTAATATAAGACCTGGTCTTAATTTGGGGAAAACACAGTATCTCTATAGGTCCTAGCAAATAGGTACCACAAAAAAGTCCTTCTAAAAATATCTCCCATAAATTTTGAAGCATTCAGGCAAAATCTTTTATGACTACCGTCCTGGCTGAAAAATGGAAGGAAAATAAATCACAAATTGACCAACCTACCTTTGATTATGTTACTTGACCAAGATCCTATTGAACAAGATAGGATGAAAACAAATGGCATAGAGTTGTTCAACCCCAAACCACTGTATGATTTCACATCTAGTTGTGAGAGGCAATCAAAATAAATCATTGTTAATGTTACCTTGACAAAACCATCTCTCTTGTACCTTGTTTATTACTTACAAATTCCTCTCTTCTACCTCTCTAAAGTCGTGGCTCCAGTGGAACGTTTCCAAGTACAGGACATCTCTCCTGAGGAACACTTGAGAGCCATTTTGATGGATTTGGCATCTAGGCCCAAAACATGTTACCAAAAACAAGGTGGGGGTATTTTTAGTCATATAAGTAATTCTACCACCACTAATAATTACTTTGTTGGTTGTTTGGCTAAAGTTGGTCCCAAGATACTGTGTCTTTGGTGGAAATAGGTTAAATTGGTATATTTTTAACGGTAAATGCAAGAGATTAATAGTCCAACACCCCTTTTCCAAGATCCTCTCGTAATTTCTTATAGTCCTTATTTTTGCTTTATTGTTCCACTCAAATGTACAGAGGTTTGTTTGAATACTAATGTCTCAAAGCAATTTAACATAGAATAAAATGTTCCAGGAAATAGTATATATACTATTTTTCTTTATAAAGGAAAATAAAGGGAAAACAGCCTTTTCCTTATTACTGCCCATTTAAAATGCCTGTAGGAACAAAGAAAATGAAATACAGTGAGGCTTAGGTTCTGTGCTTCCAGAGAGATAAGAGAACGGGAAAGAACATCTTTTACAATACTGGCAACACACACAATCTCTAAGACTGAATCATTCCCTTATTCTTCCTTTTCTAAATTACAGATGCAAGCATCAGCCAAGAAAAACAAATTGCAAAATATGAAAGAAATCAGACTCTATTCCAACGTTTTTCAATCTCGGCAACTTTAAGATTTGTGGATTTCAACTCCCAGAATCCCCCAGCCAGTATGGGAGTACTTCAATTCTGA